CAAAAAAACAAATAAAAGATAATATATATCAAAGGTTTTAAAGAATCTGACTATTAATACAAGCATAAGGGTTATTTCAGAAAATATAGGGACAATCTATTAAGCATATGAAATCTATTTTCTAAGACTTGTACTATCTATATGCAAAACATAAACAGATATAAAAACTAAATTTCAGATAAATTGATAATTCTACATTTGAAGAAATCGAATTGGGATGATTTCTTTTTAAACTAAAAGTGTCTATAAAAGTATAAAACTAAAAGTGAATATAAAATTCAAGCCATGATTATTAAATAAAACACATATACAGGAGAGTACAGATAAACTCAAAGCCATGAATGTTAAAGCAGCCCCTCATCTGACACAGAAGCAACTCAAAGGCAATGAGTAAGTGAGGCATTTTGATATGGGCCTGGTAACCAGCACTTGGGAGGTGGAGGTCAAACTGAACTTAGAATGGCCACCAAAATGCAATTATCACATCTATAACCATTCCTTAAATACAAGCAATTGGAAAAATAAAGAAAAAAGGTAGGAAAAGGCAAGAATTTGCAGTTATATATTTAAAATATTAACCTTCAAAAATCCCCAAGCTGGGCCAGGCAGTGGTGGCGCACGCCTTTAATCCCAGCAGAAGCAGGAGGATCTCTGGGAGTTCGAGGCCAACCTGGTCTACAAGAACTAGTTCTGGGACAGGCACCAAAGCTACAGAGAAACCCTGTCTCAAAAAACCAAAAAAGAAAAAAAAAATTCCCCAAGCTGTCCTAAGTCAGCTTGGCCTAGTGAACTCTAACCACTGGTTCTTAAAATGCAAATAATCTTTTTACTTTTTATTTAAAAAAATCATCAAATTATCATTTCCCACTTAATTTATTCTGGCATTCATTCTTTAGGACTCAGCAATGTGCTCTACATGCTTTAGAAGTTCACTGATTGCTTGGCAAAGGGCCAAGACTATTTAAAATCTTATTTGTATTTTGTCAATACTAAGGGTATTATTGAATTCCTATAATATATTTTGTTGTCTTAGCTGCTTTTGTTATTCTGAATTATCAGCATATTCCAAAGACTAGGAATTATCTGAATATAAAGTGAAGATACTGTTGTATTTGTTCCATTCGGTGTAATACCTCGATGGTGTTGTATTTAATATAGTAGTGGCTGGCAGTTCTACCCAAATCAGTGGAGGAAAAATAACCAGTTCGCTCTTCGAAACGGATCATCTTAGCTTTATCCAGCTTTTGTCCAACTTCAATGACTAGCTGTTCTCGATGTTTTCTTAATGTCGGGTCAATCTATTGGAAAGAAACAGAGCCAATAAACATAAATGTATTAAACTATTTAGATAGTCAGCACATAGGCCTACTTATGTAAATTAACATTTTTTTTCTTGAGGGCTTAGAGTCCAATTAAGTTTATTTAAAAAAACACATAACTGTACATATTAAAAGTATGCCATATCATTTTTATTAATGCACATATTTGGCAATGATTAAACATACCTATCTCTTTAAACATTTATCATTTCTTTATTACAAAACTTTCTTCTAGCTTTGTGAAATACAAAGCATGTTGTCATCTGTCCCCAGCTACAGTATAATAACATGGGCGAATTACCTGCTCTTAAGTAACTACAACTCAGTACACACTGACAAAACTTCCCACATCCCTGCTCTAACAAGAGCCTCTAGTAATCATCATGGTATTCTCAATTTCTGTGTTCGCAAAATTTTTAGTTTTCACACATGTGGAACTTGTTTTTCTATGTCTGGATCATGTAATTTGGCCCATGATTTCCCTTTCCATTTATGTTGTCACAAATGACAAGATTACATTCTGTTTTTAACTGTTAAAAACTATTCACTATACGCACGGAACACATTTTCCTTGGCCATCCATCAACTGATGGACACATGGATGGGACCATTTCTTGGGCATTGTGAAATTTGCTGCCATGAACACAGGAGTGTGGATGTCTTTTTGACATATTGATTTTATTTCTTATATATGTGTGTATGTATGTATATCTTAACATTTAAGGAGGAATTAGAAAAATTTTATGTATTAAAAAAGCTTAAAAAATCACTGATGTTATCAATCTGCACATTCTGTTTAAATATTCTAGAATCCAAGATGGCTATATCTGTAATATTCAGAACAATAAATACTTAAGATTAGATATAAAAATCATTTCTTTCTTACTTTTAGACAAAAGGGGATTAAAGGGGTTGGGGAGATGACTCAGCAGTTAATAGCACTGGTTGCTCTTCCAGAGATCCTGAGTTCAATTCCCAGCAACCATATGGTGGCTCATAGCCACCCATAATGAGATCTGGTACTCTCTTCTGGCCTGCAGGTGTACATTCAGGCAGAATATGGTACACATAATAAATACATAAATCTTAAAAAAAGGGATTTAAAATTCAAGTCTTATTACTATTTCATGAATATTAGTATTAGTATTACATGGAGATATGGTGGTGAGAGTGCTTTTCCCAGTCAAGATCCACAAAATAAATGCACTTTTAATGGAACAGAGAAGCATAAAAAGCATCTTCTAAATCTAAAGAGTTAATATTGTTTTCATTCATTTTAACTTAGGTCCTCATTAGAGATAAAAGAAAATTTAAAAGTCAGAAAAACGAGGCTACAGGTAGGAGCTATGGCAGCAGATGTTTTCATTGTTGACTGTGATAGGCCATACGGGGTTCATCTAAAATAAACAGTTATTAATAATAAGTTACAAATCCATTAAATACAAACTACTTGATTTATATTAGTAGGAAATTTATTCTTAAAAATTTTTGTTGAGTAATAAGAGTAAGACACATAATTAAGCAAAATTATACAAAGTTAAGGACATTGATAAGGTGGTTTGGGTATTTGTCACCAGGCCTCAGGACTCAACTTGATGCCTGAGATCAACATGGAGGAAGGAGAGAACCAACTCTTTCAAATTATCCTCTAGCATGTGCCTCTCCCTCAAATAAAGAAACAAATACATAATTAAATAAACAGATTGTTAATACTCGAAACTACACCAAAAGTATTCTTTATGCCAGAGAACTACACAACATGATGCATAATATCAATTATATTTTAAAATAAAAATGTTATAGTCTTCTTATTATAAGATTTAATGTTCTTAGCACCTAAAATATATGCTATACTAGTTATTTTTTCTGATGCAGTGATAAAATACCACACCAAAAGCACCTTAGAGGAGAAAAGGGTTTATCTTAGCTTACTGTTCCAGATGGACAGAGTCCATCATGGTAGGAAAGGCATAGAAACAGGGAAGCATGACAAGAACAAGGAGCCAGCTAATCACATAGGAAACAAAAAGAATAAATAGGAAATGACACCATAACATTAACCCTTCAGGCACACCCTCAGTGACATCATGCCTCCATCAAAGCTCCACCTCCAAAAGGTTCTAAAGCAGTGGTGGTTCTCAATCTTCCTAACGCTCTGATTCTTTAATACAGTACCTCATGTTATGGTGATTCCCCAACCATAAAATCATTTTTGCTGCTACTTTGTAAGTGTAATTTTGCTTCTGCTATGAATTGTAATGTAAATATCTGATCTGCAGAATATCTCCTATACAAGCCCTGAGAAAAGGCAGGTCTACCACCACAGGGTCATGACCCACAGGTTGAGAACCTCTGTTACATAGCCTTTCTAAACAGAGGGCTTTCTAAACTTAGGGCTGAGTGTTCAAATACAGGAAGAAGCCTATGAGGAACACTTCTCATTCAAACTATCATGTGTACACCATGTTTAGTCTTACCCTTTAGAAAATTTTCATAATGCCCTCAATTATTCCTACCATACTTATACGTGTACTGTGAACAGTCAGGGTTATATTAGTTATAACCATCTATAAAGTTAGAGGTTATAATGCACCTATATTTAGCCACAAATAAACTTCATCACAAAATGCAATGAATGAAAGAAAGGTATTGGAATACTTTCTAGGGAAAAACCCAAATAGGGAAACTCAAGTGATTTCAGAGTGGCAGCCTCAACACTAATTGTTGCCCCCATCTTAAATTCTATGAAATCTACTGCACAGGAAAAGGAAAAACAAAAGAAAAGCCCCAAGATTAGCTTTGGTAGCAAGATCAGATATGTGTTATCAGTAAATGGAAAAAACATTTTGAATTAAATTCAACTTTTTTGATAATTCTGACTTGACATAAATGTTCACATGATGATTGTAATAATGTTCTCATCAGACCACAACAGGGTTTTGTCTGTAATTAGGAAGTACTTACAGCATATAAGCAGAGTTCTAAAGAAAAACCAAGATTATATGGAATCTGTAAGCCATATGGACCACACAACTATAAAGCTCATAGGAAAGGCTGTTACCACGTGCATCCAATTCTCTGTCTGCCTATGCATTGATTCATGAAAGTAATCCTGGCTTCCAAAAAGTTACAATGACTCACCACTGCTACCACTTAAAAATTACAGAATAGGGATAAAGTAACTTGATAAGAGGAACAGATTATATACAACATATGCCATTATTAAAACATAGCCATAAATTTCTTCCTGCCCAGTTTACTCCCAAGCTAAATATATCAGTTAAAAAACAAACATTGGAAAATATCAATAGCAAATGGTAATGTATCTGAAAATGGTTTGATCATAACATAAATAGAAACTTAATAATATTAGCGGTAAAAGAAATTTAAAGAAAGTGATGTAATCATCAGGGTCCCTCAGTGTTTCCTGAAAATAAATAAATAGATAAAAGAAGCTCAGAAATCTTCTTCCAGTTCTGTAACTGGTTTTCAAATGAGGCAGAGTAACCAATGCTCATTTTCACATTAGGAAAGGTCCACACAAGCCAACAGAAGGCTTAAGCTTCTCTTTTTTTCCCAGCAAATGAAGCTCTCTACCTGGTATGCTTTATGACTGATGCCATAAGCTAATGGATTTGCTCTCATCCGCACATAAAGGTAAGTGTAACTTATCCACTTCACTGCTTCTTCCACATTGGTAACTGTTCCCAGAGCAATCTGCAAATAAAAAAATAAAGCAGAAATTAAAGTGACACATTAAAGACAACCATAAATATTATAGCAAAGACTTTTGCCAGAAATCAAGTTTTGAAAACAGGCCACTTTACTGTATTTTTTTTTTAAAAGGCAAACACAATTGGTAAGCATGATTTTCCAATTTATTAAACATCACTGCTGCTTCATTTAATTGAGAACAAACAGTATATTAGAAATGAGGTCTAAAAGCTGAATTTCCTCCATTTTATGGCTTTTAATTATTTTTCCAAGTGTAGATTTCAAATTATACACTATTAAAGACTTTTCTGTAATTTATTTTTCTCTTTATTTAGTTCATGACTCAACTTATTGTAGTTTCACTTATTTTTCTCTGAAAAGTTTAAAGCAAGAAAACTAGAATGAATAATGATAACAAAATACTGTTTTCATGTACTTTCCTGATTTTGTGCAGTTATTATCAAAAACACAGAAGGGAAGTTAGCTTTATCTCTAAATATGTCCTCAGCATTGGCATAGACACACAAATGGAACAAAATAGGAACCTGTAACCATGTCTACAAAAAGAAAAAAAATTCTAAATATTAATACTTAAAAAAATTCCATAAATTGCAACTACAACTGCCGTGCATGCTCGAGTGAAAGCATGAGGAGATTCCTCTGCTAGTAAGACAGTGACAACACCACCAACGGAAAGACCATCCAACAGTCAGCCACGCTTTCATCATGAGAGAAGAACTACAATGAAAAGGAATGCTCCAGAGTACATTCACAGAGTCATGTGCAATGGGCATTTTAATGTATTTTAGCCACCTATTAATTTAATGAAACCTGTACCATGCTTTCCTGAACACTGGCTCCTAAATCATGACATAGAGACTTATTAATTATGAATGTTTGGCCTTAGTTTAGGCTTGTTTTTAGCTATCTTTTTCCCCCCTTAACTTAAATTTCAACCCATTTTTATTCATTAATTTATTTTTCTGAGTATCACAAAAGTTTATTTAGCAAAAAGTATTTTTTTTTTAAATGAAAATGTACATGACCCAATTCTACACCCAAGTCAAACAGTCCTTCGAGGAAGAATGTGAACTCCTGCTGAACAGCCATTGTTTAGACTCTTTCCAAGGCTTCTAACATGAGGATGCTCTTTCCTCGTATGAACACCATGCTGATGTCATTCTGTTGCCCACTAGTTGCCATCTCCACACACTCATCAATCACACGATTCATAAAGGGATCAAAGCCCCAAACTATTCCTTGTACATGTCTGCCACCATTTAACTTCAATGATAACTTCTTGTCCATAAATTTCTTCAGTTCAAGAGGGTGGGCTTTGCTCATGGCAACTCTTCAGTGGGCTCTGCATGGTAAGGAGCGGGTGGCCTTACAAACACATGTGCAACAGACCGGCAGCTGAACTTAACCCATTTTTATTATATTAATCTATGTGCTGTCCTGAGACTCGTCTACTTCCTCTATGTCTCGTCCACCCTGCTTTCCTGCGTCTTCCGTATCTGGCTGGCTGGCTCACCTTTTTCTCTGCCCAGGAGGCCCACCTATCCCTCTTATGCCTAGTTATTAACCAATCAGTTTTTATTATTATCAGGTGCCTTAGGGAGACAAGGTGAAACACGCTTACATATTTAAACAAAAGCAACACATCATTACATAGTTAAACAATTATTCTATTCCACAACAGAAAGAACTGAAGACTTAAAATCACAACTGACATGAAATCTGTATAAAGGAAATAGTTATTAGACAATGACGTTAACAATTTTAATGAGGCACTTTTGTGAAGAAGTATTTGATTTTTCAACAGACCAACAGGAAGCAATAGTGCTTTCTGGGAGAGTGTTCCAAGTGTGAAAATTGCCCCCTGTAGTTTTTCTACAAATCCTTAGCTAAAGATTTGTAAATACATTAAAAGAGATGTGTTCTTTATACAATATTACATTTTAAGAGGAAGAAAAACAAGGGAAAGTGACTATGGTTCTAGTATTAAAGAAACTAAAACTCCAATTTGTTTTATTTTTATATAACTTAAGGAGACAAAATATGGAAATGTATTTTAGCATTTATATTTAAAGAACCGGCTGGGCGATGGTGGCTCATGCCTTTAATCCCAGCACTCGGGAGGCAGAGGCAGGCGGATCTCTGTGAGTTTGAGGCCAGCCTGGTCTACAGAGCTAGTTCCAGGACAGGCTCCAAAGCCACAGAGAAACCCTGTCTCGAAAAACCAAAAAAAAAAAAAAAAAAACTGCTTTATTCTTGCAGTTTTAATTTTATATAACTAATTCTATTAGATATATTATGTGGATGAACTGGTAATATAGCCCAGTGGTACAGAGTATGCTCAGCACACACAAGGCCATGGACTGAAGCCATAATACTGCCCCACCCATGCCATGCAAAAGAACTAAATGTGAGCCAATCAGGAGCTGCATAATAATTACTGAAGAATTATAGGTAGGACAATTAAATGCTTCTATTCAGGATAGATAAACAAAACTTGTTTAAATTAAATCTATTTGCATATCCAATTTTCTACCACTGTTATTTATATTCTTATATGTTTCTATGTTATAATCTATATCTAATTCATAACTATTTTAATTATTAAATATCATAAAGCATACATTAAATGGTGTTCACAAAAGTAAAGAATTAAGCACACTCATTGGGGTAGTTGTACATGCCTATAATCACAGGTGTCAGAAGGCTAAATTAGGTGGATGACTGTAAGTCAGGCCAACCTGGGCTAAAAAGCTACTATACAACAAGATGTTCCTCAAAAAACAAATAAATGAAAAAAGCCCGTGCACAGTTTATTATATGTCCTATGCACACTGTGCACATGTGGGCATAAGAACAAATCAGTTAAGGCATGATATGCTAGCCCTAACCTCTCTCCCTTGACAGTTCTATCATTCACAGGGTGAGAGCAAATGATTACTTCAGTATAGTGCATGAAACTCGCCATTATTCTCCGATTTTACCAACCAGCTGCAGTGCTGACTTAAACTTAGGTTTACAACTCTTATTGACACACTTTCTTTTTCTTTCACTAAGCTGCATTGTCTTCAAAATGGCTTTTAAAGCTTTTAAGCCTTCAGTTCTTGGCACTGTATGTTACCCTTTTTGTTTTGAAACATTCCTTTGAAAAGTTAGTAAAATTGGTAAAAATGTATATAAATGATATGACTAAAAATCAGGCACCAGACACCCCCTCTCCTATTTAAAACTACATGGTGCCAGATGTTTTGGTATACGCAGTATTCTAGGTATTGTCCAGCCTGTTCCCTTCCTATATACAATGCCCAATAAATTACTCTTTATATTCTAGTTTAAGATTTTTGGTGTGTGTGTGTGTGTGTGTGTGTGTGTCTGTGTAATGTCATATGAAGTGTGACCTATTTTCCTTACGATCATATACTATATTAAAATAAAAGAAATGAAGATTTTGCAAAACACAAAATAAGCTTCATCAGTAGATTAATGTGAGTAGCCTGCTATGGCTGCCTCTAATATGATGCAAAGATAGGAGGGACCAGGCATCACTCATCTGCTTAAGGAAAGCAGATCTAATCATTCACATAAAGGAAAGACATTAAACAGAAAAATACATGTTTATTCCACGATACACTGTATTTTGAAGCTAGTCTTTTATCGCCACCTCATGACAGAAAAGAAAAATTTCTTGTAACTATAAGCTGCCACCTGGTGACAGCTCTTTCACAGTGTATCTTTGGAATTTTTCATTCATCTTAGAAGTTAGCAGTAAACCTGTACACTCTGCACGAGTATATGTACACACAAACATGGTCCTTGGCCATCTGAAGATCCCTCTTCATGAGGCTGGAGCATATAACCACTGGGATGAATACCATAAGCCCAACACCCATTCCTTACAGTTGACTTAACATCCACCAATGGTTTTCAAATACTGGATATATGAATGATGAAAATGTTACTAGTGTATAATGCAATAATACTATAAAGTTCATTAAATAAAATGTAATTTAGACATAAGACTTAAATAACACTTCATACCTAATCTATTAATTAAAGTTTAATATATAAAAATATTTTCATTATTTGTAAAATATGCATGTTTTTAAAACTGGTCAAAATTACATAAAATCTAAATAAACAAATTTATCCTATCATTCACTTCTTTTAAGACTAGAATATTTTAAGGTTGAGTATCAAAGAACCTATCAAAAAACTCAGAAGATCAATTGTGCTGTGTGCTACAGCAAAGTAGAACAGGCATTTAATAGATTTTTCACAAATCAATAAGAGTACTATTTTATAAATAAAAAGTGAAAACAAGAAACTGAAAAAAAAAAAAAAANTTTTAAAAAAAAAAAAAAAGGAAAATGAAGGTAAAAACTCTCTCATTTGTGTCCAGGTAAAATTCTGATCCCCAATGAGACTACCCAGGTTGATAAAAACAACAAATGTGATGATTTTGTCAGAGGTGAACATCTGAGAAAAATAAGCATATTTTGTCTATCAATAAGAGTACTATTTTATAAATAAAAAGTGAAAACAAGAAACTGAAAAAAAAAAAAAAAGGACATTGAAGGCAATGAGGGCAGAAGAAAATCTTTCCGGGACAAAGGATTTGTGCTAAAGGCAGACTGGAGAGGGAAGGTTATACTGGGAGGCCTTTATGCAAGGTCTCCGCGCAATATTCTGCATGGATGGAATTCTTCTGAAGAGCAGTGCTAGAATACAGGAAAATTACCCTAGCTTTAAAGACTGACTTGCTAGAACAGAGTAGAAGCATAGTGATGTCTTCTGAAAACATATTAATAAGCTTCAAACACTTGTTTTTCTCTCATTGCAAACTCAGGTGGCTTGATACAGAGAATACACTTATGACCTTTCAGCTTTAGGATTATGAAGTCACCTCATTAGGTGTCAGTGAGCAAATATGTGCAGAAAACATTTGCTTTAAAATTATAGTTAATATATTTGTTTAAATAGTTAAAAATTATATTTATCAAGTCAAAGGCATGAGTAGAAACAATATTATTTTTCTCATTTAACTTGTTTTTTCTTTGCATTAACAATTGCCAATTCTAAATCTTAACAAAGATGTGAACACAAATCCAAGACGTTAATAATACAGCAGATTCATGCTATAAGTTGATTCATATTTGATTTCCAATTTTACCAAATTTAATTTTATATTCAAATTGCATTATTATCAGAATATTTGACAAGAATGTATTTCAGTAGACCAAGAATTATAAATCATTATAAATGTTAAAAATTTCAAAGTATGAATGTCCTTTATATAAATAAATGGAATTATAGTTATGTGACATTTCTGAAAATGGCATATCTATTAAGTAGTTAATGATGAACATATGGAGCCTTATTTACTTTGATTCTCAGGGTATAGCTAGTTTCACTGACACTATTCTATTGTTCTAAATGGTAAGAACAGTGTTTGGCTCAGTTTGTATCCTCTGTATACTTACAACAGCATGTGGGTTTTTTACTTAAATAGTTGTCAAAGACAAGGTGATTAAATTTAGTCTCCATGAACTTTAAGATTAAAGTAATATATCTGTCTTCATTAGGGTTGCTACTGTTGTGATAAAATATCACCAGCTAATATCAATGAAGGGAGGAAAGGGTTTATTTTATATTAAGCTTGTAGTCTATCATCCAGAGATTAGTGTGTATCTGCATGCAAACTTCATATGGAGGTCAGAAGACAATGTCCAGTGGTTGGTTATTTCCTTCTACCATGTGGGTTCAGAGGAACAAACTCAGGTCCTAGGCTTTGAGGCAAGTGCCTTCACTCATGGGCAATCTCCCTGCCCCTCATACCTTTTTTCTAATCTCCAATCACACCTCTCCAAACTTACCTATCTTTCTGACCTCCCATAGAGCTTTCACAGACAAAAATCATTTTTGTGGCAGCCTGGCACCTAATGTATTGTCCCCTTCTGTATGTATCCTTCTGCAACACTTGCCCCTCTTTGGATGTCACTGCACTGTGGAGTTTTGACCTGTCTTTGGCCATTATTCTTAACAGAGAGAGCCGAGTGAGTTTGCTTTTCCTCCTTTAGAGAGGAAACACAAAGAACAGGAGCAGGATGTAACAGACTTCTATAAGCTAGTCATAAGTATGTGGTATAAGACTAGTATACATTTTGACTACGAATATTTCCTTCATTTAGTTCATGCTTACATATCAGCTACCGAAATCATTAGGACTACTTCAGGCTAAAAAAGGAAACTAGCACAGGAAACTGCTGAATATTGCAACAATACTTAAAAATGCCAGGAAACAGTGAAAACACAGTTAACGTTTGACATATATATTCTAAATTGTTAAAAATGGCTATATTCTTTGCCAGCTAAGATGTTAGATATCCAGGCTGCTGAGATCAAATAGGTTTGAGCACAGAAGTTGCACAAACACAAATGCAAAGCTACTCAAGCTAAAATTAATTTTATGTATTTCATATAAAATGTTAATAATGAAGCTATCAAATGATCTAACAACATAAGGTAACTTTACAAATCTAAATTTTATTAGAAAAGCAAAATACAATATACATTTTTATTATTGCTGTTTGTTTCGCTAATCTATATAGATTAGTTTGGAAATTCTGACTTAGAAAAAAATCTCATATTAGCAACAAGTACTTGTCAGTCATGTCTACATTTTATCCTTCCATGAATTAATCAGCATTCTGCATTTAGCCTATTATTTTCTCTTTTTATAAAGATGTAATTTTTATGTGTTTGTGTGTATATATGTGTATGTGCACTGTGTGTGGCTTTGTACATGTACAAACAGATGCTAATAAAGGCCAGAAAAGTCTATCAGATTCCTTGAGGCTGGCCTTTCAACGTAAGTAGTTAGGAGTTGCCTGATATGGGTTCTGGGTACGAAACCCAGGTCTTTTGTAAGACCAGTAAACACCCTTAACAACAAAGCCATCTCTCCAGCCTCTATTTTGTCTCTTGACACACACTATATTCCTGACATTACAGATAAACAACCAATTCAATTTTCCCCAACCTTCTGAGCTCTTACTTACCTCAGCATTTAGGTTATCTGCAAGGCTTTCCAGAAACTGACTCTCAATTGGGTTTTGTTGAGTGAGTAAACTGAGGTAATGGCTGAGTTTATCATGTGTCGTTATAATGATTCCTTCCCCAAATTTGTCAAATTGTGGTCGTCCAGCTCGGCCAAATATCTGCATGACATCTAAAATTCCAAGGTCAACAAAGGAGCCTCTTTTGGCAGCATATATTTGTGTTCCCTAGATGAGGAAAAGTTAATAAAATTTACATAAGCACACACATATAATCCTGAAGAGCTGGAACCTGAAATTGGGCAAATACGGAAAGATCTCAAAAGTGTACTTTAAATAATCCCTTCATCAGCTGGGATAGAGTTAAAATCTGTAATTGAAGCTAGACTTCTACTGGAGAAAATAATTCTGTCTAAATGCTATTCACAGTCAATGAAACAGACAAATCACAACATTTTTATAAATAAATCAATTCAGAGGCTGCTTTAACAGGCACACAAATCCATGTGCAAAGGGAGGTAAGCTCCTACCTTAATAATAACAGCATGTGCAGGAAGATTGACACCCCAGGCTAATGTGGCTGTACAGATTAGGACTTTGATATGCCCATTTGAAAACAAGTTTTCAACCAAATTCCTGTCTTGCCGAAGCATTCCTGCATGGTGAATGCTAAAGCCATCCAAGAATAATTCTCGCACTTGCTTATTTCTTGACTTTTGCACCTAGACATTAAAAAACATAAAAGGATAATTTCTTGGGCATGTTGAATGAGTATATCAAAGAAAACAAACATTCTTAACTTGGTAATGGTGCCTTACATAAAAATCATTTTGTTATATATCTTACAAGTTTACAAAACATGACATATTATCTTAAAGGAATGGCACAAACATCCAACCTGGCTGTACCTTCTTGTAATAAATTAATGTCTTATACAGTTTCTTGTACACTTCCAAAATACTTGACTAAAATTAAACACATCAGGTGTGGAAATTCCTTCTGTACATGTGTTACTTTTATTGGTTAACAAATAAAGACACTGCATTGGCCTGTGACAGGGCAGAGTAGGGCTAGGTGGGGAAACGAGCTGAATGCTAGGAGAAAGATGCTATGTAGCTGCCAGCTGGAACCTTGCTGGTAGGCCATGAGCCTTGTGGCAAAATGTAAAATAATGGAAACGGGTTAATTCTAGATGCAAGAACTAGCTAGTAATATGATTAAGCTATTGGTCAAACAGTAATTTAAATAATATAGCTTCTGATTGATTATTTCATGGTCTGGGCAGCTGGGAACAAATAAGCAGCCTTCTACTACACACATCTGTACCTCAGCTCTTTAAGAATAAATCAGAAGTGGTCAAAATCCAAAGCTCTGCAGCATTTCATCTTAAGTGCTACCTTCACTTGCGGACACGAGCCACACAAGTCAGCATTTTCTGAGTGTCTTCTGAAGGATGTATCCTACATTTATACTTTCCATTCTAGACACACAATCTAGAGGACTTTACTGAGATGCCTACTGATTCCCTTAGTCTTCTACAAGCAATGAGTGCAGAAACCCAACAGTGGTCACCTACAGCTGTGTTCATGCTGAGCTTTGGTGGAAGGTTTTGACCACATCTCTCCACAACCTTACAACTACTTTGAACAGACTAAATTCCCTGATGGTATCTGTTATTTGGGCAGGTTTGAACTTCTGGGATCATAAGTTTTACAACAAAAAACTTTATAACTCGCTGAAGTGACTCACTAAGGAAATATTTCTACACAATCGAAGATGTTGGTGTAATTCTTTTAAAAGTTGTTCAATAATAAAGGCTTCTTTAGGGGTATTATATCATGTATTTATTTATCAGTGCTATGGAAAAAAATCTCATTATCAAAAATAGCATCTTTTTGACTATTTGTTCCCCACATATAGATATGGCAGGGATGGGAGCTCAGGGGTTGGGGTTCTGATCTATAACTTGTCAAACTGTCTGCATCTTGGGTCACCTAATCTTATTAATTTCTAAGCAATCAACTAAAGAAAATAACATTTTATAAATTCAACTTCAAGCAGGTTGAGTATAATAAATTAGTAAATTCCACCATCTAGTGGCCAACAAACTAAATGACAACCTGTACATTTTTTTTTTTTTTTTTAGGAGTCCTAATCAAAACCAGGCTATAATCCACAGTCCTAAAAGGAGGACGCTAAGAGGGACAAGCATGGATCCCCCTAGGAAGGGGAAATAGATAAGATCTCATTGGTAAACTGGTGGCTGCGGGGGGTTGAGTGGGACAGAGAGGAAGAGCAACAAAATAGACGATCTGATAGAGGGCGTCATTATGGGCTTAGGGAGAAACCTGATGCTAGGAAAATTCCCAGAGTCCACAAGAATTACCCCATCTAAGACTCCTAGCAATAGTGAAGAGGGTGCCTGAACTGGTGTTCCCCTATAATCAGATTAGTGACTACCCTAATTGTCTTCATGAAACCTATATCTAGTAACTGATGGAAGGAGATGCAAAACTCCACAGCTAAGCACTGGGCTCCTAGAGTCAAAGAGAGGGAAGAGGGATTATATGTGCAGGGGTGGGGAGAATATCATGATGGGGAAACCCACTGAGACAGCTGACCTGATCTAGTGGGAGCTCATGGCCTCTAGTCTGGCAGCTGGAGAGCACGCACAAGACCAAACCAGGTCCGCTGAATGTGGGTGACAGTTCTGTGGCTAGGTCTCTTGGTGGAACCCTTGGCAGCAGGACCAGGATTTATCCCTGGTGAATGAACTAGCTTTTTGGAGTCCATTTTCTGTGGTGAGATACCTTGCTTGGCCTTTATGCAGTGAGGAGAGGCTTGATCCTGCCTCAACATGATATGCCAGATTTAGTAGACTCCCCATGAGAGGCCTTATACTCTCTGAGGAGTGGATGAGGTAGGAGGAAAGGTGGCGGGAGGACTAAGAGAGGGAGGGGGAACTGTGGTTGGTATGCAAAATGAATAAGAGAGAGAGAGAAAAAAAGTTTGAATCAACATAAACAGACATCTAACAACAGACTATCCTTTTCATGCTTCAATGAGGATGCACTCTTATTTATCCTTGTGAAGTACAGTTAGCCTGTAAAAAACATAGAATACTTTATGATTAACTACATATTTACGCTTTGAATTTGCAATGTCTGCCTAAGGCCATGTTCAGAGTGTTTGGACAACATCTGTTGACACTATTGAAGGGTATAGAGACTTTAGGAGGTAGAGCCTTCAGCCTGTTTGGAGCCAGTCATTGGACCATTTAAGATCAATGACTTGACCCCCTGGTTCAGGCCACTGCCATGAGAAGAATTTCAACTATAGATTCTTGTTGGTTTGAACTCTCTTTATGTCTTCTCCACTATGATGCACTGCAAGTCCTTGAAACTGAGCTGAAGTGTATCTTTCCTTCTACAAGTTATGTCTAACAGGTATCTGGTCACACAGATGCCAAGTAATGAATGTGTTATACTTCAATCACACTGCCTTCTTTTTAGAGCTGAGATACTATTAAATTTCTCAAAGCAACTCTCATGAATAACAGACTAGAGTATTTGCTAAGAGAGAACAGAGTTCTTTCAGCAGCCAAAATAAGAGATAGGTCACTAGACCTGCTCCACTTCTCTAACATTCAAAAGCAGGCACTCAGAGCTGCACAACTGTGGTGCAGGATAGTTGCCTGCTTCTGCTGAGGCCCACATCTGGACGGCTTGCCCGGAAATAACCAGACGTGGTTGCTCTCAATATAGAATCCTGTGATGAACCACAGTTTACTTAGGACACTGATGACACAGGATGTAACTTAACACAGGAAACATGTAACTGTGGTAAGAATTCTCTTTAGGTAGCAAGCAGAACTGGAGTTGACTCAGCACATTCTTACTGTTTAGATGGCACTTCATGACATACCTGGAAAAATATTCTCAAACATTCCATTTTTGTAGACATCTGTTTTGTACCCAAATCTAAGGAGGTAACATATATTATGCATTTTGCTTTTCTTATTCTGGAACAGATTCCCAAGAATTAAAAAAAGGAACTGGATTGAAAAGTATTGTTTTTAATTTCATTTAAAGTTGTCAATTTTCTTTCTAAAATGATGCAATGAATTCATAGCTCTAACACAGTATAGGAATGTGCACTCCACCCTGTCATTCACAATGCTGAATTCACAGTTCTTGTTAAATTCTGCCAATCGTGTGAGTAAAGTGGATTGCTCATTGTCACTTTTAAGTTTTTCTGGCTTCTTTTTTTAAAAGCAATAGGTTAACTGACATATATTCCCAGTATATAGTATTGGATTTCTTAAGACCTTTCTTGCAAATACATTTTGAGCTTATTCTACACTCACATCTCCTGTTTTTCCATTTCTCCTGCAACCTTCACATCAGAGTCCTACCATTTCATCTCTACTTTCATGCCCTATCTATATACACTGTTGATTTTCTGTGTGTATATAAAATTTAAGGTACAAGATTGAGAGAAAATATACTATCTGTCCTGAACTACCTTGAGTCACCAAAAATGTCAGGATCTCCAGGTACATTCATTTTCTCACATATGATTGAACTTCATTCTTCTTTATGGTTGAAAAAGATTTCATTGTGTATATACACCAAACTTTTCTATTATTCTATTCACCTGCTCACAGACTGGTAGGGTGATTCTGGGGTGAATTTTACTTTTCAGATTTTATTTTTGAGTCAGGGTATCACTGTAGTTTGACACTCCTATAATAGACAAGCTTGCCTTAAATTCCCACAAATCTGTCTACATCTGCCTTTCAAATATTGGGATTAAAGGTGTGTGCCACCATGCCAGTCCTCTTTATCCTAAATTTTAATTTATGAATCTGAATTTTCCATTTGTTGTCTATCTTATTTCACAATACACTTGAAGTATTTATAATCCAAAGGATGCACACCTTAAGAATATTACTTTTAAAATAGGTGAAAAAAACTAGTTTTTGCACTATTGGTATTCAATTCCATGACTTTTTACATAAGTATCGGCTCTGTAACCACTGTCATTTTCAGAATACAAAAAGGATCATTCAACAGTGGTCCTCAACTTGTGGGTTGCACCCTTTGGTTGGTCAACCTACCCTATCACAGGGCTTGCATATTAGATATTTACATTATCATTCATAAAACAGTAGCAAAATTTCAGTTAGGAAGCAGCAATGAAATAATTTCATGGTTGGGGGAATCACCAAAACATGAGGCAGTTTATTAAAGAGTCACAACATTGGGAAGATTGAGAACCACAGACTCCTGATATCAGAGAGCTGTGTATATTGTATCTTTATAGATAAACTCTTAGCTTAAATATCCTGCAGCAACTTTTTTTTTTTTTTTACAGGACATCTGTTACTTCCAAGAATGTTATACAAAAATAATCAAACAGTGTATTCTGGACGGGTTTCTTTCCTCTACCTTAAATGTCTTTAAGACTCATGCAGATTGATGCATGTCAATGGTTCACCACTTATTCTAACTTTTACTGCAATAGTTTTCACTGCTGTGGATGAACATTTCAAAAGATGTTAATCTAATTTCACAATGCATGACATCTGGATTGCAAAGAGTTTAGGTGGAGCTTCCACTGACACTGATATTTGTGTCTTTGAGTCCATGTTTTTGTTTCCCTAGTATACATGTCAGTGGCTGAGCTACTGAGTCAACAGTAACTGTATTATGTTAAACTT